ACTGTGGGCGGCTTACAACATATTAAAACAATAAATAAATATACAGTTAAAATTTAAAGAGGACACATTTACAAAAAATAAAAGGAAAAGGAAAAGGAAAAATCTAAGGCTGATGGAAGCAACACCAGGCCTCTAGGGGGCTAGCCAACCCCATATCTGATTATTCATTTTTATTTCCAAATAAGGTAAATTATTTCTTATTCACAATAAGGTAAAATATCACTGATGTTTTCTTGAGATGGCACATTTATATTTTTTCCCCCAATGGTATTTCATTTTCAGAAAGACTATAATGTTTGCTTTGAATGGTTTTTGTAACATCTTGTGGGGAACAGAATATTCATTTCTGATTGCAGAAAAAAAATCAGTGGAAGAGGAAGGACTGTTGGAAGAAGTAGGATAACAGAGTAACTAGTCTGTTAAAACCTAGACTCTAGTTGCCTTGCATTTGGTGGATTTGCGCACTGCTTTTGTTCCCTTCTTTCTCCCTCTCTCTGTGTTCTTACAATGTCTTTGAAACCACAGAGGCTTTTAATCACAAAGCGGTTGGTCGTTGTTGACCTCTTGCAGCAAATACAACAAAGAGTTTTAATGGCAAATCCCAAAAAAACTTACTAAAGGCTAATCTTTAATGGATTAGAATCCATTTCATCACAAAATGAATAGCAGAAAATGTGATTCTAAGTTAGACACATGTTGGGGGAAGGAGTTGTAAGAAGCAAGATCAGAGGGCAATGAAATGTAAAAAATGAAGTCTGTGGAAGTCATAGTAGACTGTGTACCACCATCCATTGCATATACCTTTAATCACATCAACCATTGAATTCAGATTCTCTGCAACAATTTAGCATAGTATGTGCATTTTATGAAAATTATGCTTATCCTGGGCTTTGTTTTCAGTATCTCGATTGTTATCTACTATGTACTCTTTGAGACACTTCCCATTTAAACATGCTTGCTTAAGATAAGACCAGAAGAGTACATTTTCTAAAGTGCTTTGTTCACACGTTGTAATTCCTTGAGAAAACAAAGAAAAAAAGATCATCCTTCTTCAACAGAGTCTAAGGAGAAAAAACAATAGCTTTTTAATGTTTAAGATTTGGAACATCTTTGTGACCTCTTCATTCTGAAGCTTCGTGTCTAGGATAATATATGGTCATCACACCTTAGTGCTTCTATCTGTAGGCACTGATAAAGAAATAATCCTGTATGCCATTCTTTTATGAAATTGCTATACATCATGGTAAATACTTTGGTGCAGTTAGGTTTTGATTTGCATTAAAAATATATCAGCTATTAAAGGGACAATCTGGAATGTTTCTGCAGAGTTATTTTTATGAACCTTACACCATAACACTTTGTAGAATCTGCTTAGTTATGTTTCTATAACTGGGAAGTCAGTGCATTTGCAATCACGTATGTGTAAATCATGCATTATAAATACGTTGATGGTGTGGTGACTAAATTAGTTGGGTTTTGTTGCAATTTGCAATCTTGGCAGGTGGTGGCTCTGGGCTTGTGCTTTGGAGAGAAGGCCTACTTGAGAAGCAGTTGGAATGTGCTGGATGGGGTGCTGGTTCTCATCTCTGTGGTTGATATCCTGGTTTCAATGGTTTCCGATAGTGGAACAAAAATCCTTGGAATGCTAAGAGTTTTAAGGCTGCTGCGAACTCTTAGGCCATTAAGGTAAGAAAAATCTGTTGGGTGATACAGAATGGTCAACTGGCATAAATTGGGTAAGGAGAAATTAATGAACTGTATGATGGATGCAAAACATGAAGCAAGGACATTTTAACCATGGGGTTTTTTGAACAAACATTAATGGTCTGCTATGCATATAGCACCAAGCTGTCATCTGTGGTTCATACACCATGAAAAGCAGAAACTAAACCTGCTACCTTATGCTTAGTATTATAGGCAAACCAGGCCAAACATGAAGAATGTTAGAGAACTGTGAGTGGAAGAGGATCCTGATAATACAGAACAGTAACTGGATAAAAAGCCAATTATTGAGAGAGACTTTGGACACTTGTCAGAGGTGTTGTTGGTGCAAGCAACTTATTGCTCTTGTTAAATAATACATGGAATTTATCTGCACTGCAGTGAGTGCACAGGATCAGAACTATGGTCTTTTATTGGCATAAAATTTTATTTTATGGGTATACATAATTGTGAGTCAGATGCTTACACTTTATGACAGAATTTGTATAAAGTAAACAAGAAGTTAATTTCAATTCTTGAGAGGCAGATTTTAGATACTGGAGAGAACATGCCTGAAGGGCTATTCAATAATTGTTCGTCCCCAATATATGTTATCCTAACGTCTTTTATATTCTCACAAAGTTACTGTATCTATGGCCCCTTTGAGCCTAATTCACCAAAAAGATCTGCTGGCCTGAAAAAGTAATGGGTGAGCTGGGAGCACCTAGGTTTTGCCCACTGAATCCTCTGCAGTCCAAAAATGGCATAACTGAAATGTGTTGAGCTTCGCACGTTATATTGCCAAAAGCAATCTGGTTTTATGAGTTAACAAAGCTTCCAAAAGATGTAGAAGAAAGAATGAGAATCATACCTATTTTCTTTCAAGGCAAGGGCAGGATTGGCCTGAGACCCAGTTCATACAGGGAGCAATCCACAGGGGATGTCAAATATATGAACTCTGTAGTTTTCCGCAATAAACCATTTGCACTGGTAGTTTTCCACATAGTTCCAGCTGATTTTTGAAATGGTGACACAGGCCTTGGTTTCCAGATGTGGGATTCACTGATTGAATAGCTTGCTAGCTGGAGATTTAGGAGCAGCCATCCACATGTATACTTTGCCCACGCCAGTTGCTTCATATAAAAATTGTGCCTAGACTGGGAAGAAGTTTCATTTGAGAGAAGTGTTGACTGAAACAAAGTGCCTTCTATAGAACAGCTTACCCCCAGATATCCAGTCTTCCTCCACTTTTACTGGGCTTCCAAGGGCCGTAAAGGACTTTAGGAAGACATTCAGGGCAGGGAGTTTATCTTACCCCATGGGTGGCCCTGTCATGGTTGGTCCTTAATGCATTGGACCATTTTAACCCCCTCTCTTGGTAAGCTGCTTAAATCCTATGGGAATTTAGCGACGTAGGAGCCTAAAGAAGGAAGGAAATAAATACAGTACATGTGATCATTCCGGAACAGTGTTAATGTATTACTGCAAATAGTTTTATTTACTTGTATTGCATTTTCTGAATTTCCTTGCAGAGGAGTTTAAAGCAGCTGCCATCAGAAATAGTGTAACAGTAATCCACACCATTAAAATCATAAAATACACAATGCAATTATTACTATGAACAGCATAAGGAAAAAAGTCTTAGAAGAGAGTCTCCATTTGCCATCAATTACACAAATAGTCTGAAAAATGTGCCTCACTTTCTATATTTAAGCATGCATTTTATCAGCAGGAGTCCTAATGGGAGGACTCTTTAGAAATTAAAACTGTATATACTAGTTTATATGTTTAATTTCTATATTTTCCTATTGTTAAATAAACTAAGTCAGTTTAAACTTGCATAATTTAACTATATAACTCATAATGACTATAAATGTAAATCTAGTTCTGATTTTATAAGAGGTATGTTTTTATGGAGTTTTTTTTTTTCTCTCTCACTTTCTTATTTTCCTTTCTTTCTGCACATAATTTTAAAGAAAGACTCAGATTTAAATAGCAGCAAGGTCCAAAGCTTGCTGTAAGAGCAGGAGAACAGATAACTGAAATGGTATATATGCAAATTCATTATTTTAAACTGTTGTCCCAGATCTTTCAGAAAGATATTGGTTATAGACAGAAAGATACACAGGGGAAAGAGAGAGAGTTAGTGATATATAATTATTTTTCCTCTTTCTCAGAGGACATTATTCCAGAGCAGCAACCCTAAGTGAAGACGTTCACTACCAGTGGCCACAGCATCTTGGGAAGCACTGTTACAGTGTTTCTACAGACTTCCTGGGTAGTGATATTCCCTGCAGCCAAAGCCATTCTTTTAGAAGTGATGCATTGTACAACACTTGGCGCGCTACCTTCACACACATGGACACCCCTGTCAAGAAATGCCCCTTTTTCCTCTGTTCCAGACAGGAAGCATGACCAGATGAGCTAACTCTATTTCATTGTAAGGTTACATTGACAGAATCTTGCAAGTCTGAAAGTACAATCCTCCCCTGTCTCCTTTACACCCTAAGAAACTAGGGAGGGTCCCTTCTGAGATGTTTGCCAGGTCCATATTCCTTCTGCAGGCTCAGCAGCCTCTTATCCAACTGTTCCCCTGCCTGTGGCTCTTCCCCTACTCTCCCAAGGTCATTCCCACACATCATTATAGTAGCCACTCTATAAGACTGCTAGTTTGCCTAGGCATTGGCTCTCTTTCATTGTTCCAGAAGAATGCTATGAATAATTCCCTACCTAAGTCAGTGTAAGGTTATAGGCACAATCAGGTTCAAAGTATAAGTTTCGCTACAGTCTTCTCATTCTGTCTCTTCAATCCCAAGGTGTAAAATGCCATATTCTTGATCTGCATAATCTTTATGCCACATTAGCCAGATGAGTCCCTTTTTCAAGACATTTATTTTCTTTTAAGAGAAAAGAAAAAGAAAAAAAAATGTTTAGGTATAGGTGGCCATAAAGATGAGATGGGTTTTCAGCCAAAGTTTTCATCAATGATGTTGTCCCTTCTTTAATTGATAAAAGCTTTATGGTTAAGCAGAGCAGAGTTATGTGAGACATATAGGAACAGTACTCTAACTTCTACTTTTCCTCTTGTCCAGAGAAAAGGTCTCTGGGGATAAATCATTTATCAGATTGCCTTTATGAAACTGATATACTTTCTTCTGGAGACATGTGAGTTGATCAGGAGTTCAGTTATTAAGGCTTGTAGACACAATATAGGACATCACCCTGAAAAGTCCTTTAAGAAGAAGGGAAGGGAATAATAACAACTGTTTATCAAAAATTCCCTGAGGTGCAGTAGTAATTGCTAGTCCCTTCATGTATGAATTGATCACAATCGAAGTATTTCTACCTAAAGCATCCAAACTGCAGTGGCTGGGATCAACTACAAGAAAAATCTATCCAGAATAATTTAGGTAGGTTGAATGCCCTGACTTTGGCTTCTGAAATGTATGAATTATTCAGTTTTCATAACAGGAGAGTACAAGAGTCATTTTGTAACTCTTTTCTATCATATTCTTACTGCACTCATCTTCCCTCTCTTGGTGGCAAATGGATATGGCTCCCATGGATAAGATAGCTTGCTTGTCCAAGTAACCATTAACATGCTGGAAATATGGTTTCTTCACTTGTTGGTAGACCTTCACAAACATGATCCAGCAGTGCTCTGCATCTGAGAAGAATGCATCCATTATCTTTAATGATGCCTGGAGTCCACAGGCAAAATCATGCTGTCATCTTTCAGTGACTAGAGATTAGCTGTTTTCTGCAAAAAGTCCTTACATTTTTATTTCCTGGAGACAAAAGAACTGCATTATCATTGAAGCTGATGAAATGGTATAGAGGTTTCTAAGGCCAAACTGTGTGTACTTTGCACCAAAGAAATCTAAATGTGGTTTCAGTGCTCAGAAGAAATTATGCAAGTTGCATAATGCATATTGCAACCATTTGCAGATGATTATTTTTCATGATACAGTTTGCTTCAAGGAATCTGCTGTCCTCCCCCACTCCCCCCGAAAAATATAGAAGGTGGAGTTTATGGAGGAAGGGAGCAGTAGGCAGGGAAGAAAAGTCATGAGAAAAGGACAAAGATTTCATACTGGCTCTGAAGACCACTGGAAACCCTATCTAGCTCATCCAAAGCTTTCATCAAAACCTGCCTACATATTTCCAAAACGGTTTTCCCAGCACAAAGGATAACACAGGGTTTTTTCCCCCCTCTCTCTCTCTCTCCTTTTGGTAGGAGACAGCTTAAACAAGAACGTGTCTTTTTTTAGCCCAAAGGGCGCCACTTCATACATGCACTCTGTGATGTGGTGGCCACAGAGGATGCAAACCAGATGGGCATTGCTCCACATGGTATGCCGTCTGTGTGAAGTATTGCCCTTGTGATCCAAGCCAGCTTTAACCACACCATTAAAACCCTCGCTTTCATGGAAGTTGTGCAAGCATTATTAATACTGGCCAAAGTCATGTGGTTGTGACTTTACTTCCCATCCAAGGCCGGGCACATGATGGTTTGCATCCTTGATGGCTATCCACAAATCTTACCTACCTGCTGACCCACATATCTTACCTTCTACCCGGATTAGACAATAGCTTTCAAAACAGACACATTAAATTTGTGCATCTCCTAGTTCAGTGTTTCTCAACCTTGGCTGCTTTAAGCTGTGTGGACTTCAACTCCCAGAATTCC